TGATGGTGACGAATATGGTAAGTTTATTTTCACGCCACCGCTTAGCGGATTTTCAAAATAACCGAGTAGCGCCGGCGAGCGGCAGTGCCCGCTACCTGATGCATGCCCATTGCTATTTAGAGTGAAATCTTCGCAAATGTTCAACATTTAGAGTGATACAATTAACTAACATATTCTAACACGCAGGAACAGACATGGACAATTTATTTTGGAAACAATCCCCGGAGAGGATGTGATGGATTAGTAAGTGACGAAGAGAAGATACATCTGTTACAAACAAAGTATCCAACCCATGAAGCACATCATATGAAATCAATTTATCGTGATCATTGGTGAATACACTACACCAAACTCCATTCAAAAGCGGTCCCGGAAAAGCATTCTCAACCGCAAGGGAAGACAATGGACCTTTCGATGTTACTAATGGTAAGTGTGAAGAAGAGGCGGGAATTTCTGAATAAGCTATGGGATTAGATTCGCAAATGACTGATGCAGAGCCAGTATTAGATTTATGGGATGAAGAAATTGGTGCTGGGACAGGTACCAAACCTGTCGCTGGTGGGATGTCAAGTGATGTCGACACTTGGGAAACAGACAGGCCAGAACATGAGGCCGCCGGAGCATCAAATATTCCTTGAAAGGGTGCTGCATCACAGACAGAAGGATGGTTACTACCTAGAAAAGAGAATAAACAATGGGGCAGGGGATTCAACAAAAAGCAGCAGAATGAAAAGAACACTGACCAGCTGTAGGGCAAAAGCCAGGGGTTGTTGGTGACAACATTGAAGCTGAGTGTGCTGGAAATACAACAGAGTAGAAATGTTAGAAGAACACATTTTAATTCATTATGTGTACCTGGCAGTAGAGAAGATGAAGGAGAATATGCAGGAACCTCAACTTCTTTCCAAATCAAACAAACATCCACATTCTGCAAAAGATGATTTGCATTCATATGGACACATGCAGCGGAAAAGTCTGTCCCAAGGACAACATCAAGACCTGAGTGACAATCACAAAGACAAAAAGTCAGTGGCACGGTATGCACCGAATGGAACTGAGAAATTGTGAGAGGGGCATTCCAGGTAAGCAGGTGGTTGTTGCAGAGGGAAACTTTCCAGACAAATTCATGGGAGAGGACAGACTGCACAAGATGAGGATCAAAAACCCCCCAAGTGGCTAGCGAAGTAGGGCTCAGTACCGTACCCGTTTACGGGTATGGCTGTATAAAATACAGACCATATACCATGTTCATATTGCCAACCTGTACTGTATTTTTCATATCCAAACTTGTTTACAGTCAATACGGCCGTGAAGCACAAAAGCAAAGTTTTAAAATATAATTATGTAAACTATTGGAGAAGAATTCCAGCATGTATCAAAAAAGTGTAAGAATTACTTCAATGATTTAATCCTTTCCAAATAGCTCTACAATGGCGTTCTGAGCCATGCACAACTATTCGGCTCAGGCTCAGCCTGAGTCATGTGATCAACACACATGTTGTAACGCCGATGTATAACCACACTAGCGCCGTCTTGCACGGCAATGCCCGCTACCTCCTCCAGTTCCACCTTCATGTACAGGCTCATGACTTTTCAGCTATTTGTCTGGAAGATTGTAATCAATTGTTGCTTATCAATATACATTAACAAGTGACCATTTATACATTCCAATTCTATAAACTTTTACCACAGCTTTACTCTTGTTTGAATGTCTTCTAGCATGTCCAATAGCCTCCCCATTCCACTTACAAATACTGTTGTCGGAAGAGAGGTCATTCATACATACATTCAACAATTTAAGACCTGGCATTTCCAAGAAGCTCTTGCAGTAAAACTCAAAAAGGAAATTGATCTGCAACAGGATTTGCTAATGAAGAACATTCAAGTCAAAACCATGCAACATTGATCCAAACAATGGATAAACTAGCACACATTCAAAAAGACAAAGTCCTTTTATCCCCATCGTGAACATGTAAATGCCGTGACTATCATAGCCCCATGGACACTAAAGGTGAAGAGTTTGCAGACAGTATCTTCTATTAATTTGCCGAATTATGTCTCTATACAGTATGCTGCCATTCACAGGTGGACCGACAATGCACACCTCAACCAGATTGGGAGCCCTGGTCTTCAAATGACGTTTGCTGGCAAGCCTCAGAATGTAGTGAGATTTTGTTGCATCAATGCCTCTCTCAACTAAACTAGAGGTTTATTTAACCAATGGTGAGTGTCCAGCTGTACAATTTTGATCCCTGAGTGTTGTTTTAGAAAAGCAGACAAGTCCAAATTATCGACCCAATTCTCAAGTATGAAATCACTGAGAGAAACCATTATGAAGAGAGGTGAATCGAGCCAGTGATGATATGATGAGCAAGTGTTTTGTAAAGCGCGCCAATAAGTCCCAATTAACTACTGGGAATGAAATACCATGAGAGGCACAGTACTGTTGAATGATAGGAATGGGCAGACAGTAATAGTGGGTAAATATATCAGTTACAACATCTCGAAGGGGGTGCATGTTTACATCCCTGTAAGACAGCAGGAACTAGTTGATGTAATGTTGCAGGACAGTTAAGCGTTGGGGCATGTTTGGTTTGGACAGAAATTAGTAGACAGCTGTACTGAAGATGTGGTTACGGTTAAGGAAAATGGTGAGGTTGTTGCAGGATGACCCAGTTTCTTCAGGAATGATGAGGATACCACCGAATGCGGGAGTTGCTCAGCTGGTACGTCGCGGGCACATTGCTTACAGCAATGAGGCCTTGAGGAGCATGGGATTCAACAACAGAAAGAAAGGAAAATCGCCGAACGGCAGTGTAAGATGGCGTGACTTTTCACGTGAGAGTCACGCGACTCGGACATTTTTGCCATGGTTACGGCCAAAGCGAAGCGCAATACCCTCTACTCTAAAGAGGTAGCGGGAATGGTAGCACATCATCAGTGTTATTCACCATATTCACTGCCCTAGACCTGATCTGCAGACCTCTCTGCAAGCTCTAACAGAGAAGCTGGAAAACCAGGTTGTTGAGGTCAACAAGCGATGATGAATTATGAAGAAGTACAATAGATACCGTATAACGGCCATGCCGGCTGTGCATCAGACGGTCAAATACAGGTATAACTGTACCGTATGCTGGACTGTATTTTTTTTTCTCTCAAGTCATGCCGGTACGGGTACAGAACCGTATATACGGTACCCGTATACTGTCAATGTACGGCTCCAGTTCTGAGCCCTATAGCAAAGACGCAGTGAAAGAAACAGATACCATTGCTAGATTGTACAGAAGAGAAAAGGAACAAATACAGGAGATGGAAGTATGACCAAATTAGGAATGGAACACCACATGGCAAGACCCCAGAAAAGGAAAGAGCAATAAACAGCTTGGATACCCATCTGTGATCGGAAAAGTTCCACCCCCAAAGCCCACTACCTAAAGGTAGCGGGAATTTCACATTTTGTCATTACTGTGACTGTAACCTGCTAGTGCTGTACTCCCACTTGTGGCTCACTATTCTTTCTGACTGAACTCGTTCATAATATGCCTCCAAAGTGCAAAGCAGACAGCGAAGACGCAGGCTCTAACATGAAGAAGAGCAAACCATCTGCCCCGCGCTTGAAGAAATCTCAACGCGGTGAATGGGTAAGAAAGCGACCAGTTATGTGGCACGTAATTTTTACTGAGATGTTTTTGTACAGGAATCGCACTGGTCGAAAGAGAAGCCAGGAGGCGAATGGGCGCAGAAATGTATTGAACGATGGTGGTATGTGGTCGCGTCTTGAACGCGTAAAATTTTGACAAATTCACACTTCCTAGTCTGCTCCCACCCTACGATGCGGAATTTACTGAAAAGCATTGGAAAAATTACTATCAAGAACGGTCTGCGCTCGATGCCGTCAACACCATGAGCTCGGAAGCTTCTAAACCTATCGTATCAGAGGAACTTGGTCAGGATACGTTTGCTATTCTCCGGCGCGTAAGCGCGAATGTGGCGAACATCCTTTATGGTGCCGTCTGTGATGACAAAGATGAACGCAATGCTATTGCTCGTACGATTCGCGGTTCGTTGTATCACACTAATTTATGGGGCAATGATGAGGAAGGGTACGTCGTGTAGACTCTGATCAATCTGAATCTCATCGTAGCTCTGCAGAGGGGGGAATAACCCACGTGCTGTGAAAGCCAAGACGCGTATCTACTCTCCTTTTGGACTAAGCCCGTCCCTCGACATGGTATACGACTATCACTATCGGACTTATAAGCGCGTGGAACGATCTTCAATTCTCTACGTTCACGCTCGATCCATGGGAGGGTGTAACGTTAAGGAGCCTCTCAAAAATGTTGCTGTAACCAGGGATAAGAACGGGCGTCAGAAACCCGAGTATGGGACTATCAAAGTCATAAACATGGTAGGTTCCTGGGTATTAAATTCACTTTTTGTTTTCTTCATCGACGTCCTGCATAAGATGGAGCAAAAGCTACTGGGACGACGGCTAAAAACCTGGAAGAGCTCGAAGAAGGGTTGTTTGGTGGTTGTGGCTGGCTGTCTCCGCTCAAGGTATTCCAGCTCGTCGCTCATGCTGGCACGGTGGGGCATTATCACGAAGCTCTTCGTGCGTCTCTGTTGAATAAGGGAGGTCTCAGCAAGTTCAAGCTGTTCAAGGACGAGACTGATGGGAAAGAGATGGGTACGGCTGAAGCGAAGGCGTTGACCGATATTGAAGCGAAGCTGGGTAATGACGGTGAAATTTGTATTCCCCAACGACTTTTACTTCTTGCAAAGGGAAATGAGCAAAAATAAAAGATGCATAGGGTCTTCTCACGCTTTATCAGATGCGCAATGTAACAATCGACTCGGTAGTGTACTTATAATATGACAGGATTGCTAGTAGGCTTTGAAGTTTAAATTTTCCTTGAATATGGGAACATCTAACAGTACCCCGGTGCAACCTTGATGGACCATAGTAAATTGGACAAAAAATAAAGATCTAACGGCTCATATGGACACACTGGGAATTGAACCCAGCACCCCCCGCACGCTAGTCGACCTATGCGACATGCTAAGCGGATGTGATAACCAACTACACCATGTGCCCGTTGAAATTTTTGAATTGCAGCGCCCGATTCGGCTTCGGCATGTGAGTCGCGTTTGGATGTGTCAGCTTTCCGCTGGCTGACAACGCTAAACTCTGTGTACAGAACCTTCTACGCGTTTCCATTCCAGCTATACCCCGATTTTCCCCACTCATCCTTGAACTCAATCCACGACCACCATCTAGGTCAACGACGCGACTGCTATTTACTAAACGCCACGATGGATGGACTATCACAATCAACTGGTCTCCCACTTCTCAGTGGCCCTTTACCGCCGCAAACTTCTGGTCGGGATGCGGAGATGTCTTGCAGGAAATGCGCCAAAGAATTTAACATTTTGTTTACTAGATCCAGGAGGTGTGCACATTGCGGTGAGTTCTGCCTACTGTAACCACGATTGCACTGATATTGATTTGCGCCACGTTGAAAGGATATGCTTATTGCCACAGTTGCACCGACTTTCAGGCTTTGAGACCCAGACAATCTCAAGGTCAAGGAACTATCCTTGAAGCTGCTGAACCTGGTCCTTCTGCTCCCGGTTATGATTCAGTAAACGTATGTGCTTTTTGTATAGAGTTCTTACAAAGTACGTCTCGTTCTTGGGTCTGGACTGGGTTTCCTGATTGTACTCTCGGTCTCTTTTTTGCCATATGAATCACTATTACTGCGGCCATTGTTATTCGTCTCAATCTCTCACCTTATAGTTACCGCGGCTCCGCGACGTATCCTTAGAGACTTCCCGCTGTCGAAGCTCAAGAAGTATGCTGCCGCTTATAACATCCGGATCGACCATGCAGTGGAGAAGGATGATGTTATCGATGCTATTCTGGCCGCCAGGGTGCGTTATTTTATTCCGTTTTTTGTTCCCGCCACTCATCCAGTCACAGACCGCCAACGGGTGCCTCCCGCCAGCTAACGAAGCTTATTATCGGAAATATTCTGTCCCTAATCGAATGACCGCCAATTCGTCTTCTGCTTCTCGTACTGCGAGAGATATATTCAATAGCGTTCGAAATAATTTCACAAACTCCTCGAACAGTAACAGCAATGCTTCTTCAACTCCTTCTGCTCCCCCACCTACCCCACCTCAACGCACCCGCCCCGAATTTGCTCGTCCTGATCTAGAACCCGGGGGAAGTGCGGGTCGAGGAACTACAGTAAGACCTCGTATGCAACCCTACTCTTCTGCGCAGTCGGGAACTCCGCCCCCTAGGAATACTGCCACCAGGCCACAGTCCGCTGCTCGTCCAACCCCGACGCCGACGCCGACGCCAACTCACAGCCACGGACCGTACCAACCGTATCACTCTCATCCCCCGCCGCCTACCCCACCTCGAGGGTATAATCCACATCAGCAGCACGGTTATGCAGGGTCTGGGTATCCGTATTCTCCGTATAACGGTATTCCCAGGTCCCGGGCGACATCCGGACCTCCTGGACCTCCCCCCGTTCCTCAAAATGCGCGCCCCGCCAATCCCCCTCCAAGAGCGGCATCGGCTGCACCTCCTCCCACCCTAGACGAACTCTTGTCTATGACTACATCCGAACTCTCCTCCCTCTCCATCTCCACGCTCAAATCCATCCTCTACCAAAACCACGTGAACACGGGCGGGCAGCAGATATTGGAGAAGGGTGATTTGGTGAGGAAGGTGGAGGCGTTGGTGGAGGATGAGAAGAGGGAGAGGCAGTTACAGGAGGAGAGGGAAAGATTGGAGGATGAGGAGAGGATTAGGAGACAGCATGAGATGATGGAGGCGTTTGAGAGGGAGAGGGCGGATAGGGCTAAGGAGAGGGAAGAAAGGGAGCAGGAGGAGAGGAGGAGGTCGGAAAGTGGAGAAATTCAGCTTGGAAGTGAGAACGGCGGTCAGGACGACATGGAGGTTGATACGGAGGTGAATACCCCGCGGGAAGCTGGGGGTGAAAGTTCCGAGTCGGTAACTACTGCACCTACGTCTGACGAGAGTGCGCCACCGGTTCCTGCCGCCGATACCAAACCCAAACCTCCTGCTGCCAACGCGGCACCGAAACCGAAAATGCCTGCGGTGCCAATGCTTGCTGAACGCTCGGGATTGTGTGTAGTGTGCCAGGATGAGGAAGCGAATATTGCTATTGTTGATTGTGGGTGAGTATTGCCAGTTTCTTCTGCAGTGTCTATGTCTGCTCGGAACCAGTATAAGAAGTAATACTGACGACCCATATTTCTTATTTACCTTTCTCTCAAAAATCCTTGCGTTTAACGATTACAGCCACCTAGCTCTTTGCCGAAGCTGCTGCGATGCCATTATGGCTCCCACTGGAACGAGGGAATGTCCATTATGTAGGACGAGGATCGTCACAGAGGCGAGGTTGTTGAGGATATTCAAAGCTTAGATGAACCCCATGTTTTTTTTTGGCCAGCAGATTCATCCGGATTTTTTTTTTTTCGATTTTTGCTGCGCTCATTCACTCAGTCAATCACTCAGCTCACTTCACTTGACTTATTTCACTCCAATCGCTTCAATCGCTCGGTTATACCAGACGCAATACGCAATATCGCAATACGCATCATGGATAGTGCATAATGCATATAATCTGTATATCTGGATTTGGGGAGGTTGTGCATTCAACTTAAATATTGTACGTTGTATTTAATCTTTTGCGCTGCGCCTGTGTACGCTGTATTATGTACTTTGGGTAATCTGTTTCGTTTGTTTGCCGGTGGTACTACCGGCATATAGAGTTAGTTGTGTTGCGGTTTTTATCTCTTTGGTCTTTCGGTGCTGTACAATTAATTAGGAGTGTGGATGCGCGTTGGTACCTCGTGGACTCGGTGATCCTGGGAGAGCTGGACAGTTGTTAAGCCCGCAGAATAAGTCCCAATTTGGATCGCTGTCCCTTCCTCAGATAAGTTTACTCCAGCAGAATAAGTCCATCGGTATATGGCTTTTTCTGGAATTTTGAAATTATTTATTTACAAACTTTTACCACATGTACACAACGTGTACATATTACCAAAAACCCCGATCTGAATCCCAGTGAAAATCGGGCCAGGAGAACCAAGCAGATCTGAGCGAAACAGGGAGTGCTAAAACTTTTCATTTCGCTCAGATCTGCTTGGTTTGGCTCAGAAATATGCACCCTTTTCCTTGCCATACCGAGCAAATCAGAGCAAGATGTGTGAATTTCATTTCGCTCGTCTTTGCATGGCTTATACTGCATACTTTGGAGCACTTCCTGGCTCGGATTCACTCAGTTTTGCGAATACGCTAATAACAAAATTTATGTTGATTGGGCTAATTACAGGTGCTCTATCGGTACTCGTACACTAATACTACTATTACAATCTTGTACGAATCACGGAGCGAGAAAGTTATAAAGCCCTGCTATCTTCCCAGACAAGATCGGGACATCTGAAGCTGCGAGTGACAACAAATCTGAATGCGAACTGGCTGCGACTGGGACTGATGGCGATATCAGCTTGTTGCATTAGTCGATGAAGATATAGGTGCATACCAGAAAGGTTCTTCGAAGCTTGGCCTATTGTCAATAGCCCGTGGTCTGAATGATGGTGCTGGAAAAGAGCAACTAAGGAGCTGGAAGTTATCGACATCTATACACAGAAATCCATCAGGCCAACGATATAGATTCCACGGTACAATGTACACACCTTTTGGTTACGAGATCACCAAAATGAATCGTTCGCATGGTCATCCGTCATCTTCATTCACATTGCATTTCGGAAATCGATAGCAAGATAAAGTAGGGAGATGCTTTCGCTGAAGACAATGACAAGAATGAGAGGAACAATAATGGCAGCGACAACATGGTGGTTGTATAGCAAGGGTCTTAGTTTCTTTGGGGATTCTCACGAGGTCATTATATAGGCGTTCCTCAAAGGATTTCTCAAGTCAGTTTCACGCTACGTACATGAGACAAATTTGTTGAAATAAATCAAGTTGAAAAATTAGGATTAAAAAATGAAGATAGATTGGCTCTGAATCACTCGATACGGCTCGGAATGCAAGCTTGAAACAAATTAGAAAGCAAAGATTTGACAAAGATCGATGGAAATTTGTCGTTCGGACCGGATATCTGGAAATGGGCTCGAATGGCTCGGTATGGGCAGGGCGATTTTTGTTTTCGCTCAGGACTGCTCGGATCGGCTCGGCGGGATTTTCACTGCGTCTGAATCTTAACCGCCTCTAGGGGCAGTGCAAAGTCTTAGGTGCTCTTAGGTGCTTCGAATCTGTGCTTCGAATCCGGTAGGTGCTTCAAACCTGTGCTTCGAATCCGGTAGGTGCTTCGAATCTGTGCTTCGAATCCGGTAGGTGCTTCGAATCTGTGCTTCGAATCTGGTAGGTGCTTCGAATCTGGTAGGTGCTTCGAATCTGTGCTTCGAATCCGGTAGGTGCTTCGAATCTGTGCTTCGAATCCGGTAGGTGCTTCGAATCTGTGCTTCGAATCCAGTAGGTACTTCGAATCTGGTAGGCGCTTCTAATCTGGCAGACTTTTTAACACAACCTGCAACTCAAGATGATGCCCCAGAATTCCTCTATCGGACCCTTCTCCTTAACATGGTTGGAGGTTATCTATTCCTCTTCATTGTAGTTCTCCAACTTCTTAACCACCTTTTGGAGATACTCGATATGCATCCAGTGCTTCTTGTTACTTGGCTTCCCTTGTCGATTTGGTTGTCGCTCTGGCAGCTTCGCCGTTGCATTGTCCACATGCCATCACCCTCACTTCCTCTTCACACTTCGGAAAGACTTGTCGATGAAAATATTGGGCAATCAATCCTTATAGTTGTCTTTCTTCATGCGTGGTTAACAACGGTCCATCTTTTTGCTAGTACGTACCGATTAGATTCCTGGAATGTTACCATCTTCACTCTCTGATTGGCATGAGAACTCCAGTCATTGCTGGAAAGCTTGCATTCGAAAACAGCTTCGCTGCGGCTCTTCCTGCCTGGTTTGTCTTAGCCCTTGCCACCCTCTTTCTTGTTGTCGGCTTTGCCCAATATCTC